CTAAAATAACATAATCAGAAAGAGCTTTATTTTGAGTAACAGTAATACAGCATTTTTTCCAATATACAATATATTTTTATGAATTGCATGCCATTAAGGAACAATAAGTCATCCAGTTTTCCAGATATTATATCTAGATATTGCAATATCAATAGTTCACTGCAATGTGCATCAAGTGTCTCATACCAGCCACTGAATAAACACACAGAGCAAGGGGACATTCAATGTATTTTAGTATGATTATCATCAAGAAAAACAGTGTTGTGTTACCCCACAATTTTTAATTTGTCAAGTAACGTTAACTGAATAAGTAATTCAGCACTTGCGGTTGTTTTATTAGATTGAAATAAAATAATATGAATTTAAGTAATCAAACGTAACTGGGACAAAGTGTAAGTTCAGGGAAGAAGGAGGTGGATGTTGAACATAACTTAAATCATACATTTAATCAAATGAAAGAAGCTGAAGCGAAGTTATTTACTATATTTTATTTACCATTTTTACAAATAAGGTTCTCCCCAAACGAAGTTGTAAGAGGTTTTGTCAGATTTAACTCATTTCTGGATACAAATCTGTCCTCAAATGTACAGTATACACACACTGTATACATCTTTGTGAGGGCTTTTCATTGACACCTGTTGTTATATTTTGGTCCACAATATAGGTAAAACATGCACACACACACACACACACACACACACACACACTAATACTGTAACTGTTAATGTGTGTTTTCAGGTGTGTTCAGTGATGAAGTGTCAGTGAATGAGGGAGATTCAGTCTCTCTAAACACTGGTGTTATCAAACAACCTGACAACCTGATGCTGTGGTATTTCAACGACACTCGCATAGCTCTGATCAACAGAGATCCCAGTACGAGCTGTCTGTATGATGGAGAAGGCGGGAGATTCAGAAGCAGAGTGAAGGTGGACTATAAGACCGGATCTCTGAACATCACCAACATCACAACTGAACACACTGGACGTTATGAAGCAGTGATTATCAGAAGCAGCAGCACAAGAAACAGCAGAAGCTTGAACGGTCAAAGCAAGTGTGACAGCACAAAAATCTACAATAGAAACAGTACCACTCAAGCTAAAACCATAAAAACATTCAATGTTTCTGTCACTGGTGAGTCACTCAATCTTATTTACCCTGAAGTATTTACAGATTAAATACTGTAATTTTATTTTTACTTTGTACTTGTTTGAACGGTGACATTCAGGCATTATTTTTTATTGTCAGGAAATCCTGTATGTTCTAAAAAAACCTGTTTTACAACACAAACTGATTTCTGATTTTAAAAACAAGTTCAGCTTTCATTGATTCCAAACTGACCTTTTTTTTTACATCAATTCCTGTTTCTTTTTTTCCCTGTATTTGTATTCTCTGTGCCATTCTCAGTTGCCGATTCTGACATGAACAGTAAAGCCCAAATACCCAAATATTTAAAAATAAAAAAAAATTAAGAAAAAATTAAAATGGTAATCAAAAAAGTTTTTAAATATTTAAAAAATAAGATGAACTATAGACAAAAAAAAGTAAAAAGTATATGAGTGACAAGAGGTTTAATGTGAACAGAATACAAAACAGTGTTCATTCAGGGAGTTCACAGAGAATAGAGATGTTTTAAATCTGAATAAAGAGTCGCTGACACACTCACCTGACTTCCTGTAGAAACTGAGTCCATCACAGCACGTTTGAATGAATCCTACATGTTATTATCCGGTTTAATACTTGCGATCTGAGAGCTCTGTATGGTTTATAAATCATATCCAATATGGAATAATCCCAGTACTGTATATGTGAACAGAGGAGGAAGTAAATCTCCACACTGGACATGTAAGGGTGTCCATAGAGAGAATATATCTATGAATACGGTATAAACACAGTCAGATTCACTCACACTAATGTCTCTTCCTCTGTATCTGATCCAGGTTCAGGTTCGTCTGCAGGTGCTGTAGCAGGAATAGTTGTTGGTCTGCTGGTGTTTGTGCTGCAGCTGTTGCATCTGCTGGTGTGATCTACTATGGCCGCAGGAGCTCCAGACTGCGCAAGTATCATCTACAGACACTATAAAAACATCTTTATCTGGCAAAATTACTGTTTAATTGTGCGTGTGATTATATTTCAAAGCAGGTGTGGAGAGACCGAATCTAGAGCTTCTGAAGAAAGCCCAAGTATGAGGTGAGATACTGAACTATGTTGTGTGTCTTTATATGTGCGTTTAATTTCACCTGCTTTGACAAAATAATCCTGGTAAGAAATAAACATTTTAAACAGAATCTCATTCACTGGTCAATGTGCTGATTTTCTGAGTTTCTGTAGCTGTTCATTCACTCTCTTTATTTTCTGTGATTGGTTGTTTTCTTAGATGGAGAAAAGATGAAGGTCACATGATCGGAGAGGATTGTAACTGCTTCCGCAAGACAAAAAGAAAAAAAAAAGCTTCCTCTAAATATACATATGAGGAAATGAGAGCTAAAAACATGAAATGCTTTGCTCGCCTCTCATTATTGTTAAGTCACTTACCTTAATATTCAAGTATTAAACCATATAAACATAGATAATGTTAACTGTGTGGCGCTTATAGTCATATTTTCTTGCTGGGTGTTTATTTGTAACTTTATCATCTAAATGTCCCTGTAATCATTTGTGTGAGAAATGTTACTGCAAGAGCATTTCAGGCTTATTCAAATATACATAACTGTTTTAAATATCTGATATTTGCAGCTTCTAAAATTGCAGCGCATTTAATCTTTTAGCAGATTTTATCAAAAGAAACGAATGGAGGAATATCAGCAGTTTATCATAGTTGTGTTGCTATGGTTGTGTATTAGTTAAAGGTGCATGTATGCTAACTTTAGCCGGATAGCTGTAAAAGCTTGCGCGTGCGTCCCACACTCCCTGCGAATCGCCATCCAAAGCCACACCTCCTGATAGCACGAGCGCGCTCAGCCAAGAATACCAGAGAGACAACGATACTGCAATACATCATGTACTCGATCAGGACCCGATTACACATGCTTGAGCTAATTCATTAGAAGCGACATTATCCGGGTATCTACCCATCCAAAAGAAATACTGCATCTATGACGTCATCTTTAGACACTTCCACAGTTGTCTCCAGCGTGTAAAAGCAACGCCCGAAATTAATTTGGTCCTTTTTTTGATCCAGCCTTTTTTTCCCGTTGTATTCCTTTCAAAGACTGTCTTTTTCTTTTGGTCAACACAAGGCCACTTGTTGTCGGTTCGAAGGAAGGTCAGGTTGCTGTTGCTTTAATTTGCCTGACAATCTCGCTCTGTCTGACAGCGTACATGAACGAGCTGATGACTTGAACAAACATTTTATGGTCCTACGCCTTCCACAGACATGAGAACTTATCATGGCATAACAAAAAAAAAAAAAAACATCTGCAGAGAATGACCTACTGCACCTGTAAGTGCTTGTGGAAGAAGTTTAAGACAGAAAGTGAAAGAGTAACTTTGTAACTTTGTTTCTTATTGATTATATTTTTCTATGAATAAGTATTTAAATCACAATTAACTTGTAGAATTCAGCTTTTCTGCTAAATGTATACAACAAATGCTGTGTGATTGTTAGTGAATGCAGTGACTGTTTATTCCAACTAAACACGGACACGAATGTACATTGTCACTCAGATTATGATTATCATCTAGTCTCTGTCCACAAAGAAAAGAGCATTAATAACTTTAAAACTTGAGTTGCTTCTGCAATAAACATTTATTTTCTTGATTTATCACAGCATTTTTTCTTTTGTCAATTAAACTTGGATAATAATGTGGTTCAGATAACATAGCCTACTACATTGAGTTTCTTTTGATTAAGCCAATCTTCTTCATTGTATTAACTATTACTTTTTTAAAGTTATGCTAACAATAATCTTTTAACAGTGTAGGATCTGGAAGTTATAATCTTAATTTTCTTTATAAAGAAAAAGTGACTTTGATTATTCTGTATTTAAATCGTTATAACTTAAGTTTATATCTATGGTTCTTATTGAAGCCTTCAGTCAGTATTCAACGTAACCAAAATGCATTTAATTGACAAATTGCCTATTTAAAAATTACACAACCAAGGAAAAACAACCATAGAATCATGGCAAAAGTTGCATCATGGGGTTGTAGTTCATTCTTTATAGAGAAAATGAATAAGAAAAATACCTCCAGAACAAGACTAGCTACTGAAAAAGTCTGTTGCACGGTAATATTGCCTTAATGAACTTTACACTGTCTGTTGTTTACACTGAACTTTACACCAACTGTTATTCAATCTGAATGAATTCATAATTTATTCTTATTATGACACAGCTTCAGTTTTAATACAGGCATATATGATTCATAGATGTAAATCACTTGGGTAGGCAATATTAATTTATTTGTGTTCAATTCTACAGTGATTTATTTGTGAGAAATACTTTTACATTTGTGTCAGACAATAAAAATAGAATAAATTAAGAAATAAAAAATGGTGTAATTAACAAAGAATTGTAACGTGGATGTACAATGAAATCATTTTAGTTTTAGCCACCAGATGGCCGCAACACACCAAATTCGTATAATCAACTTTAAAGGTGCCGTGTGTGATCTTTAGCGGCATCTAGTGTTGTGGTTTGCGAACTGCAAACAGCCAGTCACTCGCAGGTTACCCCTCCCTTTGCAAACACGAAGGAGAAGCTACGGTGGCCGACGTAGTGCTTAATATGCTGCGTTTGCAGTGCATAAATTAACTGATCCGCGGCTGTACCACATTTTTATTTTTATTTTAACACATACTCATTATTTCAACAATGTAAGCCAATTATTCCATGCATTACTTCTATATGAAGTTGCTCAAGCAAGTGGTCAAATATGTAACCATAGCCTACTTATATTAAAATCACAAACATTTTAAATGAAAACTTAAAATTGACAAAAACAACCAACTCTCATGCCTTTTCTTTTGCACTTACATTTTAATACAACAAATCTTGCATGTCACAAAGCACTTGTTTTTCCACCTCCAAGAATAAGACGAGTCTCGTTCATTATTGCCTTGTTGAGGTAAATGGTAGTTTGTACGTTATACGGATACTGTATGAAAGAGATAGTTATAAATATCCGGATAGGTTACGGCTGGCAATAAGGACGAATCTTTACTTAATGCTATTATTTGATTTTGATATGGGTCCACTCCACACACCAATCAAGCTTATCTTCTCTTGATACCGACGAGATGTAGGCAACTGCTCCCCTCAACTCAAATCTGCGCGCGGCTACGCCGGCTAGGGGCAGCAGATGTTATGTCAACAATATGGCCGCGGTTAGCTACTTCCGGTGTTTGCGAATAAGGTCTATAGCTACGTTCTACCTTACGAACAAATGGTGCAACGGAATAAAGTACAGAGTTAGTTACAAACTAGCTAGTAGTTACTAAGCCTCTAGTGTGGACTTTACGTTAATTTAAGAAAGAGCTTACGAACGGCTGGTGCTACCCTACCCTGGAGTAGGCTACTACCGGCCGTTCTGTTATTCTCCAGATCACACAGATGGCCAGTCCGTATGGGATCAAAGTCCGCCCTGTCGTCGATTCGCCTAATTGTTGACATCCCTAATGGAAAACAAAGTTGTCAGCATCTGATGTCATAAAGTAGAACAATTACAGTAGCCACGCCCACCAGAGCAGAGAGGACCAATCGGATCACAGCTTCAGTAGAACCACAACAGTGGACAACAGTGGAGTCTGAGAAATAAAAACATCAAACTTAGATCAGATCAGTCAATAAACGCTAATATCAGCGCTGATATTAGTTGATGTCATCAGTGCTACCTGCACACGTGTGACAGTGTGTGTTGATGTCCAGATGTGTGGTCTGGTTGCTGATGGGATTGTTCAGCACACAGCTGTAGGTGTTTTTATCCTGATATTCCACCTCCAGAGGTAGAGAGAGACTGATGCTGAGATCACACACACTGATGCTGGACAATACACTCATTCCTGCGTACCAGGACAGAGTCGCATCACACACACTCAACACTGATGATGAACACACCACTGAACAATTTGAAGATGATGATGAACAGTGTGAAGAGTTACTGATGACAGGAACAGGCAGACGAGCTGGGAAAGATTAGTAACATTACTTCAGGATCATATCAGTAAATAGGAGCAGTTTTGACCGTTTCAATGTGTTGAGAGTTTGTGATGTCATTCACACACAGTAGAATAGGCCTACTGTGATTTTTAAAAGATGAACACTTCATAATAATTAATCAAAAGGAAACTGTTCAATAGTTTTTAAAAAAGGAAGACAAAAATATGTGTGTATCTCAATGTTTATAATTTCGAGATTAAAAAATAAATTTAAAGGGATAGTTCACTTTGAAATTAATTGTTGGTATGTTTTAGCTTACCTCAAGGGCATCCAAGATGTAGGTGTCTTTGTTTCCACAGTATTTTCAATTTTGATATTTTTAGGTCAAACCGTTCTTGTCTGTCAGTTATATAGTGGATGTCTATGGTCACCACCTCAAAGAGCATGCACAGAGAAGTCCAAATTAAACATGATTTAATGACTCGTAAATGTAAGTACACATTGATGGCCTAAGACACGAAACGAGCGGTTTGTGTGAGAAAACGAACAGTGTTTATATCGTTTTTACCTCGTGTAACCACAGTCACTTCCAAGTGATCTGAAGGCATGGGCGCTTCGGTCTGCTCAGTGATCTCTCGCGTGATTTCAGAAGTTTTACCTTTCACTGTGAAGATCTAAATGTCGAAATCGTCTTCCATTGCGATTTCATGTAGATCTAAATATGATTAGATCTTCACAGTGAAGAGTAAAACTTCCGAAATCTCTGTAAACAATGAGTGACGTACACACGCGAGAGATCAGTTCCAGCACAAGCGCAGACCGAAGCGCCCGTGCCTTCAGATCAGTTGGACGTGGCTGTGATTACACGAGGTAAAAACGATATAAATCCTGTTCATTTTCTCACATAAACCGCTCGTTTCGTGTCTTAGGCCATCAATGTGTACTTACATTCACGAGTCACTAAATCATGTTTAATTTGGACTTCTCTGTGCATGCTCTTTGAGGTGGTGACCATAGACATCCATTATATGACTGACAGACAAGAACGGTTTGACCTAAAAATATCAAAATTGAAAATACTGTGGAAACAAAGACACCTTCATCTTGGATGCCCTTGAGGTAAGATAAAACATATAAAAAATTAATTTCAAAGTGAACTATCCCTTTAATATGTATCCCCTTTAATTACAAACAAAATATGTAACACACCGTAGACAATGAGACTGAAACTCTTGCCCACACCATCTTCGACCTCTAGTCTATAAACTCCAGTGTGTTCAGTTGTGGTGTGTGTGATGGTCAGAGATCCAGTTTGGTTGTCCAGTTTCAGTCTGTCTCTGAATCTCCCATCAAGAACATCATCATATACAGTCATTCTGTCGGCCAGTACATTAATTTGAACTATTAAAGTGTTTTCATCTCCAAACGTCCAGTAAATCAAAGCATCATCCATCATTTCAATGAGACCAGAGTTTAGAGAGATTGAATCTCCCTCCGTCACTGACACTGATTTCACTGAATCTGGACCAGCAAACACTCCTGAAGAACAGAGATTATCACAGATTAAGGGTCTCAAATAACTTAAATATATCAGTTTTGCAACTGTAATGACGAACAGCAGCACAGAACACAGTGATTTACATTTTGTGTGATGATGTTATTTTTAGTTATCAATACCGTTATTAACGCAATACATGTGATCTGTGGGAGGAGCCACAGGGGTGATAATGTCTCATCTTAAATCTGATTGGCTCCTGCAGTGACTGGCTCTGGAGAATGAAGAGTAGCCAAATATGCAAATCAGGGAAAGCGGTTAAAAACCCTCCACTACTCCACTAATGTTTCTTAGAAAAACTACATGGACTAAAGGCCCAAATGAACGGTCATCAAACCCTTGAATTTACTTTGCACTTATATCAACATGTATATTTTTCTCTTAGTATCCAGTGTAATTTTAATAAGCACAGTAACAGAATAAAAACGTCAGAGTAGCGAGATCATCAATAATCATCTGATGTTTGTTTATGGTGGTAAAGCATGAATTATTTGAAATAATAATAACAGATTCTGTTATTTTTCTCTTGTGGTTTAAAATAGATCTCACAAAACACAATAATTATTCAAATAAATAAATAAAAAAAGGTACAAAAAAATAGCCTATATATATGTGTCTGAAGCAAGAACTGAAGTGTTCAAATGCATATGATTAAAACTCACCGGCCAGACGACACACGCAGAACAACACACACATGTGAAGCATTGTCAGATCTCTATATGTGAACACTTCAGAGACAGAGAGATAGTGAACTAACAGGACAGTGTTAAACTGTGAGAGAGTGTTTCTGCGTCTGATTCCTCCACCAATAATATTTCAACACCTCATTCTCTCTCTCACTTCACACACACTGATACTCTGGTGATTAATATTCCTCTGTATTAGTATTAGTATGTATTGCACTGTTGGATACGGCAGACCGGACACAGTATCTTTTCAGTTTTTGTTTTTGCATGCATCCGTGCATTTTTAATATTTTATTGTAGACCTATGATCAATATTTTGCTATTAAGAGTGTGATGGTGTTAGGATAGTCACTAAGGGTTACTAACTAACACTATCTTTGTTTTCCATCAGCCGTTCACACTCACACAAACAACGTGTGAATACAGACACACTGATGACGCAGAAGCTGTTTATTTTCATCAACACATCCAACCGCATCTCTGTACAGAAGTCGAGGTTTACTTTGAGCCGTTCGAGTCTGAGCAGAGAACCACACTCACGTACGGTGTGGTGGAAAATTTTAAACTGAATATTAAGCTAACCATGTTTTGACATTTGACCTCATTTAACCAGCTAAATCTCTGATACAATGTCCTAAGACATTCTGTACTTCAGATGAATGTATGTGCGCCAAACTCCTGACAGTGTATAAATAACAAATACGGGAAATGGAACTAGACAGATGACTAAGTTAGAAACATTCAAACAAAGTCTC